CTATTCACCACTTTCATTCTCTGGGACTCTCCATCTAGAACAAAATACTCATGACCATTTGCTGCCTCACTTTCCTTGATTTGGCTATGCCATATTTTAACCAGACTTGCACATTTGAGCACTGGTGTTCATCATCAGTGAATGTTACTTCCTCTGTGTAGCTCTCGTGGTTTGGCAAATGTTCTATGGTTGTGGCACTTCTGGCTAGCTCGGCGTGCCCTCCAGGAACCCTGTGCTGCTGCTGTTCTAGACCTATGATATCATGCAAACCTCGCTGCGCACTATTGTTTAGGTTGCAGCTTCTCCCCCTCTTCCTCTTCCCCTCCCCCGCCATATTTCCATGACCTTCCCTTTGTCTGCTGCCTGTTACTAGGCAGGATTCAGGCAGCTCCTTGCTGATTGGCTGACGGATTGAACAGCTCTTTGGCTGCTTACTTGGGCACGCAATCATAGGCTAAGCCATGGCTCCTGATACTTTCCTTTGTTGCTTTAGAGCTGGGCTCTCTCTACGGAGGAATAAGAATAACAATAAAAAAATACGGAAATAGAAAACTTTTAAATTCACTTAGAAAAGAGACCTTCCCATATTCCCGAAGCTGCACGTTTTGTGCCGAGTGAGAAATTTCCAAGGATTATTGGAGGGAGATGCATAATGGTGTGTTTGTGGCTCACGTGCTGAAGTATAACGCTCATGCTTAAAATGAAAAGGCAGAATTTTCCTAAATGATATCTAAGCATATAGACGCAATATGTGTGTTGGTCTTTCAGAGTTGAGTATTGTGTTTAAAAAAGTCAAACCAGCCCCAAACTCACCACCTTCTTTACAGCATTTAACTCTTGCACGTGCAGTTGTACATTCTGGAGTCACTTTGTGCTGCTCCATATAAACACCTTTCTTTGAAATGAAAGGTGCCTCTTCATTGGCTTGTGGCCTGGGCCACTCATTTCCTCCTTGTGACTTGATCACATGATAAGTAGAAAAAGCAACCAGCCAGGCATCAGAAGAGGGAAGTGCTTTGCAAACATAGCTAAACTTTTTGGTAAGTGTAAAGTGAGATTGGCAAAATACATTCACTTAGAACACTAATAGTTTTAAATGTTTTATTTGTGCAGGGCTGAATTGATGTCCCTTGTTGTGGGGTTGCCCCTTGAAGGGGCTTTGTCCTTGCCCTTTGGAAGAACTGGAAGGCAGTATTTATCCGATGGTGGCTGATCGGTTTGCACCGGTGTGACCAAACTGCCTGGACTGGTTACCAACTGACTTGTTTCTTCTTGTACTCAGCTCTCACATGAGATCTGTTACTTGGCTGCCGTGTGCTCCCTTGTGGGTATGGCTGGAAACACTTTAAGGCTGCTCTGCCGTGATGCATGATATTTTGCCGTTAACCAGCATTTAGTGCTCATCTTTCCATCTCATCTATGCTTATAATTTCATCATGGTAGCATTGTTATGGTAGCTTTTATTGAATATTCTTTGGTAGCTTTTATTGAACACTCTTTGCTTGCAAAAGATTGTGGGATTGAGCTGAAAATATGTACGAGTTACTATCTAACAATGGAAATTTGAGAAGCCTTTTTTCCTACAGGTTCTCTCTAGAACTGTATTAGAGCTTTGTTTGTAACTAGATTTTGGGTACTGTCCTAAGTAAAAGTAAACATAATTTTAAAATGCATTAGAAATTTAAGCTGGTTCATTCAGTGTTTTTTAAAGAAAAAAAAAGCAAGGATGCATCAATATAAAGGTATTCTGATGTTTGATTTTTTTTTTTTTAAGACTGATATTCTTTTCAGGTTTTAAAGGAAGTGTTCTTCATTTTCTCTGTAGTTATTTAATGTTAAAGTATGAATGAAAAACTGCTTAGATGATTAAGAAATTAGAACAGTAAAGATTAATTTCTTTTAAATTATATTTTACAGTTACTCTAGCGATGCACTTAGGAATGATTTTAAGTTGTGTGTAAATGTATTAATCTATTAGTATGGATCATAGGAAAAGCAAAATTGTGAATTTTGTAATATATTTTGTAAATTCTGGGTAATGCCTATAAAAGAGAACACTGTAGTATGGGAGATCAAACTACTTGCCTTTCTTCATTTTGGTGCAAAGGCCCTGTATTCTTGTACTATACTAACTGAAAACTCTGAGTAGTTGGTTATCTAATAGGAGCTCTTGGAATCAGTTCAGGGTTAGCCAAGCCTTTCTCAGCTCTATGAATGAAGATGGATTGGGAGATGATGCAAAATGAATCATACTAGACATTTAAAAGGCATCCTTTTCTAATAGTTCTGTTCTATCAGGGTTATAAACTTTTGCCTGGCTGGTGATTGGGGGGGAAAAAATTTTCATGTAGAGGTAACTGTGTGATTTATTTTCTTTTTTATTTCTACTTGCTCTAGTGTCTTTTAACTGCTATTACCCAAGTCACTTTTCACATGTTTTTGAGAAACTTAATAAAAGCTGTATCCTAGACCGGAGTAACCTAGGACGGTTTGTAGCTTCAGAAGTGCTAAACTGGTTAGCATCAGCTGATTGAAGATCTTAGCTGTTGAGTTATATTCAGGATACAGCAACTTCTTTAATTGCTTTCTCCTTCTGAACAATATTATCATATCCAATCCTTTAAAGGTAGGCCCTAAAGCAAGACCACATTGGGGAAAATACAGTTTAAAAATTCCTATGGATTTGTTTTGTTTAATGGAAACAAATGAAATAAGATGTTGCCTTTCAACAAAATTATTATAACTTCTCAGGTAATGCTGGATTTAATTCCATTTATTGAGTTGATAAAGTAGGTTTTCAAACATGATTTTTCTTATTTTTTTATATATTAATGTTCTTCTTTTTCCTAATATTTATGTGGGTGGATGGAACAAATATAATTATACAGAGGGAAAACCCACCAGTTTTCCTGGTAAGAGAAAATTTTTGTACAAGGTGCAAAGTTTTTATGGCTATAAATGGCCATAATAGAATATTACTGAAAACTGAATGAAAGTGCTTTAAAAACCCAAGTTCAATTAACCATTGTATAAATATGGATGATGAAGGTAAATTTGATCTAAATAGAAGAAAGTATCTAATGACACATTCAGAAATTCTTTTTATAGATTTTTCTTAAAAGTGACTTGATACAAAAATCATTTACCCAGTTGTTAAGTCTCTTTGAAACTCATGAAATTCCATAGTTTTAGAAAGATAAAATAAACTGATGGCTCAAGAATATTTTGTACTTTTTTTATGAGAAGAGAGGCTGTTGGCTCTTGCCTTAGTACGATATCTAACCTGAAAATCTCACGTGACTTTGCTATAACACTACGAGATGACAACTGTTTTAAAATGTGTAGTCAGAATATTACTGCATAATATTATAGTGTGATCTCTCTGATCTTTACATACATGTATGTGCAGCCTATACAGAAATTTGTATTCACTTTTTCTGATGTCAAATTTGTGTGTTGATGTGTGTCTTTGGTTTTGGCGATACAGTTAATCTGGTTTGCTTTAAAATGTGCTAAATGCTGCAATCTTTCTTAGTAACACTGCAATGCAATGATAAATTTTTACCTTCACAATTCTTCCTGAACTTTTTTTTTAAGGTTCAAGATGGATACCACAGATGAACCTCAGAGAAAAGTCTTTAAAGCACGAAAAACAATGAGAGTAAGTGATCGGCAACAACTTGAAGTTGTCTATAAGGTTAAAGAGGAGCTATTGAAGACAACTGAAGTTAAGTTGGTAAATGGAAAACACGAGAATGGAGATTCTGATTTAAATTCCTCTTTAAGCAATACAGACTGTATGGAGGACAAGAAGGAGGTTAATGGCATAGTGGGTGTGTGTGTTAACTCTGAAGAAGGAAGAACAGCTTCTGATGAAATTAACAGGGGCAAAAGTCCTGAACAGAGGGCAGGGAACACAGTCAGTGACACAGAATCCAAACCTCCAACACTGTCTCCAGAAAATGTTACTCCTCAGCAAGATAAAGATACTGATACTGCAGTAGCTCGTGAGGCTGGAAATGGAGTGCTTGGTAGCAATAAAGACAACTTCCATGAAGAAAATAATGCAAAAGATCATTTGGACCAAAGAAAGAGTGATACACCGTTGGAAGGTGAAAGTAAATCAATCTGTGATACTAAGGACTCTTCTGAAGAGAAGGGAGAAACAAATGATGTAACTATTAATTCTAGTTTCTCTAGTGAGGAAAAGAAGACTGAAGAAGTAACTGCTAAAGATGCTGTTGAAGAAGCAACCGTCTCCAGCAGTATGGAAGCTGACCAGGATAAACAAGAAGGCAATGCAGGTCTTTCAGAAACTACTCTTAAGAAGACAGCAGATGAGCCAAGCGAAAGCATCTTGAACAACACTAATGCTATGGAAACAGATGAAATCATTCCCATTTTGGAAAAACTAGCACCGTCTGAAGATGATCTGAGCTGTTTTTCTAAAAGTTCTCTGCTTCCAGTGGATGACATAGTCTCAGATTCAGAAGAGAAAATAGACAACTCTTTGGGCTCACCATCCAAGCAGGAAAGCAATGAAAGTCTGCCAAAAGAGGCTTTCCTAGTACTGTCTGATGAAGAGGATCCCTGTGATGAGAAGGAGGAACATGCTGAAGGGATATTGCCAAGCAAGTCAAGTCTTCCAGGTAAGAAGGTTCTTAACTGGTAGTTTCTATTCAGGTTTGGGATCTTTTTCATTGCTTAGAATGACACACTCTTGACATGTTTTCTAAATCAAAAGGCAGTCTTACTCACCAATGATATTATGTAGTCTTACAGTTTTCAAGGATGAAATTTGAGGCCCAGGAAAAATAACACTAAAAACTACCATCTTTGAGATCTGTTTTGTTTTGATTTGATTTTGGAGATTTTATTCATACTCTTAGCAAATTTTGGTGCAAACTTGGGTGAGATGGTGGGTAGAGAAAGAGGAAAGATGAGTAATTACGAGAGATGGAACAGAATGATTTGTGAGAAGAGAAATGTGTTCATTTACTGCTCGTTTAGCTTTCTTTAATGTGCAGAAAAATGGTAAGAAGGGAACATACGTGTAATCCAGGCATGCCACAACTCCTGTTTGGTTTAATTTATATTTTTTTCTTCACTAAAAGACAGTTATTGGAAAGGTTTAATGGAAAATGCAAGTAAAGTATTGTATTCATACCATTGTAGCTTTTATTCATATAACTCATAGTGGGTTTTATCTTTTATCTGATGGCTATGGCAACTGATTAATGCTTTTAAATGTTAAGCGTGGGAAGCTGGTACTTTAATGTCGCCGTGGAATTAACAGAAGGTTTTTTTATGTTAAGCTGAAAGGATGTCCTCTATAGTCTGTTGTTGTCATACTGGTTTGTAAACTTTTTTTTTTTTACATAGGGTATTCATTGTCATACTATTGCACTTCTGAAAATAAAATGGATAAATAATTTACAGAGAAGCTGACACTGATCTTTTATCTCTAATTAAGAAAGATGTTGTTTGAAATTATTCTTGGGGTTGGATTTTTTTTGTTCTCCTCCCCCAACAGAACGTTTTATGAAATGATGATCATGCTAAACCTATGTTTGACTGGGTAGGAATCCCATAGCTTAAACAAGATTTAGGTGGTTTTCAGTCTCTGGGTAGTTAATAACCATAGTTTCTCAACTCTTGTTTCATTAATGATGAATCTTTCACTAATGTACGATATCATTCTGAGTCTTCAGTCTCTAATCAGCTAGAGAAATGGAGATAAGAATGTCTCTTCAGCCATGTTTCCGGCTCCTCCTTTTTTGGTATTTACCTTGAAATTTATGCTAGTTAAACAGGGGAAAGGTAGGTTCCATAGTTTCTTCTAAGGGTCTTATTTAGGTGTCAGCTGTTGCACTGAGATTTCAAAAGTGATACCGTTGTTGTGCAATGAAAGTCTTTCAGAGGCAGTGAGAAAGAACATGGTGTTCATTTGTGTCAAAACTAGTGTTTTATGAGTCCCTTCTATAAAATGAACATTACAAATAAATTGATTATCCTTGTTCTCACTGCACTTAAAGGGTTCTTTCACTGAAGACATCAGGGTTACTCTTTCATCTTTTCCAATGAGAAATACACATTGTGGTGTCAGAGGAGTAGTAGATATAATAGCTATGTTGTCACGGATTTTTGTAATGGAAGATCATACGTTAGAAGACCTTGGAGCTCTTTGTGTATGTAAACAAATACATTACAAGACCTGATTGATGTATTTGAATTATCTGGATGTTCAAACACAAGTAATTCCTTAACAAGAACCTGTGGAAGTGAAGCTGTCTTCAGATAAGATGGGAAGGAGGAGGAAACAATCAGTTGAAGATGGGTCTCCATGTGGAGAAGTATGGAGCTCAGTTACTGCTAAAAGTTTGCCTTCATTTGTCATCCGTGGAAGAAGAATCATAGAATTTAAGGGTTGGAATGGACCTTACAGATAATCTAGTCCCAACCCCCTGCCATGGGCAGAAACACCTCGTCACTAGATCAGGTTGCTCAAGGCCTCATCCAGCCTGGCCTTGAACACTGCCAGGGTCAGGGCAGCCACCACGTCCCTGGGCAACCTGTGCCAGTGTCTCTCCATTCTTATAATAAAAAAAAATTTTAGCTCACATCTCACCTTAACTTTCCCTCCTCCAGTTTGAACCCATTACCCCTTGTCCTATCATTGCAGTTCCTAATAAAGAGTCTCTCTCCGGCTCCTTGTAGGCCCTTCAGATATTGAAAAGTTGCTATTAGGTCTCCACGCAATTTTCTTGAAGGCTATCAAGTGCATAAACCCTGAGGCCCTGGCAACTTTCACCAGCAATTTTTCAGAAAGCTGACGAAGTTTTCTAGAACTGTGTAACTATGTTCTTTTCTCCTGCTTATACTCTTCCCTATTTGATCATCTACTGTTCATGTCTACATGAAAGTTTTGGAAATGGGATCCTGGCTTAGATGAACTGTTGATTTTACCCAGTGCAATTGTTGCAAAGTTCTGTTTCTTACCTAATCTGTACACTGTCAGGTTTGACCAGGGGAGCTTGCCTGCAAGAGCAAATCTGAAGTTTTTCTCAGAATTGCTAGCACTTTGAGTGCATTCTAGATCCGTATCTACAGCATTGGCATTTCATACCCTGCAGGGATAGTTTGAAAGAGGCTTACTTCTTAATGATCTTTGGTTAAGGAAGACTGAACTCAAACAGCACACCCAAGTACAACCTTTCAAGAATAAAGGCTGCTGTTAAGGTTTATAAGAATACAGCTTGTCTTCTAAGTAGTAATGTTTGAAGAGAACTTCAGAACATGTTAATGGCAGATAAATAACTAAGAATGAACTTTTATTCCTGGGTTGTGAGAGAACCAGCTGTCAAAATTCTTGAACTCGCTAACAGGAAAATAAGTTACACTGAAGTAGCACCAGTGAGACCACTCTTCTGCAACAACATTTCTATTTCTGGTTTTTACTTCAAAAAGGGATATTGGAAGATATTCAGAGAGTTGCTGCAAAAAAAATTACTTCAGCATTTGGAAGCAAACTTTGTACTGGAAAGCTTAAAAGAACAAAGGTTTTGTTCATCCAATAGAAGATTAAGGAGGTCTATAATACCTGGAAATGGTAGCTGAATATATTGGTAGAAAACAGGGATTTTTACTGCAGCAGACAAAGATACACTGCTGCATTTTTTGATCCACTGGATTTTGCAAACCAGAAATCAGGCTAACTTCTGTCCAGCAGACTTTGGAGGAACCATTAATGGATATTGGATTCATCAGTTATAATCTTTCAGTCCTTGTGGGTTTTTTCCAACTGAAGTGTAATAATAAATAAACAGTTAATACTGTTCTTTGTGTCTGATTCACTGTGTAAATTTTCTTTTGGTATATTTTACGATAGGCAAGAGGACCTCAAGAGGTCTCTAGTCCAGCCTTCTATTCAAAGTTGGTTCAGCTGCAGGGTAGCTCAGAACGTTATCCAGTCAGGTCTTGAAAACTTGCACGGATGTGAAGACTGGATGACCTCTCTGGGCAGCCTGTTCCAATGACTCTTCTTGCTGGAAATATTTTTAGTTTTATCAGTTGGAATCTCTCATTTCTGCTTACATGTGTTGTCTCTTACCCTTTGCTATGCACCTTTACAGTAAGTCTGGTGCCATCTTCTTAAAGACTACCTTATAGGTATTGAAAGCTGTCCTTAAGTCCCTGTTAAGGCTTGTTTTCTTCATGCTGAACAAGTCTGGCTTCCTCAGCCTCTGTAACAGGTCGTGTTCCCCAATTTCTCAGCAGTCTCTTGCTCCTAACTGTAGTGGCATAACAACTGCCAAGGAAAGAGCAGTAACTACTTGCTGTGATATACTGGCTCTCTTCCTAGAAAGCCAGCTCAGGATGTTCCAGACATCACTTGCTGCAAGGACATGCTGTTGGTTTGTACTTTGTTTGCTGTCTATGTGAGGCCTCATGGCTAGGGAGCAGCTCTGCTTTGTGGCCCTAGCCTGTGTCGTTGCAAGGGTTCCCCCTTCCCACGTGCAGGACTTCTGTATTTGCCCTTGTTAAGTATCATGAAGCATTTGTCATCCTGTTTCACCAGCATGTCTAGGTCATGATAATTCCTTTGAAAATACATGAATCTATGATTTCTTCCCAAAACAAAAATAGTCAAATCCTGTCATGTTTCACGGGGGAAAAACCTATTTCTGTTACTAACTTTGGGGTAGAGTTTGATTGCAGAATCACTGCTTAGGCTGTGCTTTTGTTCTTGTGGTTGCTGTCTGTGCAGTTACACAACTGTGGAATTATAAGAGTATGACTATGCCCTCCTGAGTAATTTTCAGATACTGTTTGGATGCTCTTAGGTTTAGTCATTAGTTTTACTTGCATTTATATATGTTTTCTGGCTGAACTGACATTCAAATAAATAACCAGCCAGCCACTAGTCAGATCAGCTGTAGAAATTACTACAAGGTATTTTCAGTTGTTTAGTAACAGGCAAACACTTAATTTTTAAAAACACCAAAGCACCCCACCTTTGTACCTTTGTGTTGAGACCCACAGCAAATAGTGTGACTTAAGACAATTGTGATAACTTGATGATATAATCAAACTGGGTTGTTTAAAGGGTTATATTCATTGCTCCTGCCTGTCTAGCATCAGGATAACGAGAGCACAGTTTATCAGTGAAAAATAAGCTGATAGTTGTAAAATTTCTCCATATTGTGTATGGAACCTTCTTAACTAGAAAGGTTTAGCTGGGCATCATGTTTAAACCACTTTTAGTTAAATGAGCTAGATTTGTTCACAGTGATGGAAGTTTGCAAGGAAAGGACTTCCTTATCACTGAAATTAATTGTCCTTTCCATGGAACTGAAAAAAACTCAGCTTTTAAGCTTGTAATGTATTTGTAAAACACTCTAGGTGTATATATCTTTCCATGGAATATTTGTCTCTTTTGACTGAATATTAAAATCTGTAAATTGTGGGAAAAGTTCCCTTGAATTTAATGACTCTCCTTTAGATTCTTAAGCAAATGAGTCCTGTTTTATTGCTAACAATTAAATACATGAAGTTTATCTCTAAGTCTTAAAAAGCAGGTGGCATAGGCACTGTGCCATTTTATTACCTTAATATATCAGACTGGGATTGAAGAATTTATGTGGTATGAATATAATTTTTTTGCATAAATTAACAAAATAAAAAATCTCATCATTTCAGGGGTTTGGTTTCTGACTCCTTCCTTTTCCTGATATATTAAGTGACTTACTTTAAATCATTCAAGTGTTCTTCATAATAGAAGCAAAATTTAGTGTTGAGAGAGCTTCAGGCATACCTTGCAGCCAGAACTTTCCCTAAAAAAGTTAGTAAACTCTGTTGTAATAACAAAGTGAATATAGGAAATCAAGGAATTGTACAGATCAAGATGTGCATAACAGTGCTAACTTGCTCTGTTATATTCTGGATAGATTTTAATTTAGTCTTAAAAGGAATAGTTATATGTTATATCTAGCAAGTGCAGGAGGTGGCAAATACAGCCTGTATGAAACACATAATGGAACAGATAATAAATTTTTTCAGGAAGTGTTAGCATTTTTCATTTTAATCTCTGGGCCGGGGGGTGTTATTTCAGATTTTTTATGTTTAAGCATTTCCCAAACTATTTTTTTTTTAATGACTAGTCTTAAATTGTGATGCTTCTTATTAGCAAGAAACTCTAAGTCAAAAATGCTATTTGGTAATCAAAGAAGAATCTGGACCTTTTCTACCATACAGGTTATGGTTGAATTTGCAATTGTAAACAGAGAAACATATTGGGATTTTGTTACTGAAGTTTTCATATATTTTTTCTAGGTGGAAAAATAAGCTAAAATAATTTGCTGATAACTTTAGCTATATTAAAACACTATCATTTCATTTCAGAAGTAACTGAGACATTGTATTACCTCAGTTATTATAGTTCAGTTATTCTGATTGTAATGCTAAGCAAATTCGGAAGTGAGTCTTACTGTGTTGTGTGATAGTTGAAGTTTTTGTTCTGAAGGTACCCTCTTAATTTTTTTCATGTATGCATTCCCTTTCTGTCATACTTATTTCTATTGCCTTGCCTTCTGTGATACAGTTTTTCATAAGTATTCTAGGTTTGTTAGTCAAAATAAAACTCTTATGAGACTTTTAGTAACACATGGAGTTTTTCTTCTGTTTGTAGAAGAGGTGGTGGAGGAGAAAAGACAGGAGAGTGATGAGAATAAAGAAGAAGAGGCCCACAAAGAAGAAGAGAAACAAACGGAGAAAAGTATGTAATGTTAAAACTATTGTGCTTCACTGGTGGTATGTGTTAGAAACAGAATCATTGAGGTTGGAAGAGATCTTTGGTGATTATCTAGTCCAACACCCTTGTTCAAAACCAGGTCAAGTAGAGCAGTGTGCTTAGGACCATGTCCAGGCAGGTTTTGAGTATCTCCATAGGTAAAGATTCCACAACTTTCCAGTGTTTGACCACTCTCACAGTAAAGAAGTTTTTATATATTTGAGTGGAATTTCTTGTGTTTCAATTTACAACCATTTCACTTGTTCTGTCAGTGGTACTCACTAAGAGTCTTGCTCTTTGTTCATTCTCCACCTGTCAGGTAATTTTCACACATTATAAAACCTTCCCTAATGGCCTGCTTCAGTTGAACAATTGCAGCTCATGACGGATGCTTCAGTGTGTAAAACATCTTGGTGGCTGTACACTGCAGTCTCTCCAGTGTGCTCAGATCTATCTTGTATTTAGAAGCCCAGAACTGGGCATAAGGTTTAGTCTCACATCCCCTGATTAGAGGGGAATAATTACCTCCCTCAGCCTGCGGCAATACTCATCCTCAGGCAGCCAAAGGTGATCTTGTCCACTTTTGCCAACAGTGCAGATTTTTGGCCCGTGTTCAACTTCATGTGCTTGGAGGCCACCAGGGCCTTTTCTGCAAAGCTCTTTTCAAGCCAGTGAGTTCCCATCCTGTACTAGTGCGTGGGTTTATTCCTACCCAGGTGCTGGACTTTGCATTTCCTTTTGTTAAACTTCATGATGTTCATGTTTGCCTATTTCTCCAGTTTGTCAGTGTGACACTGAAGGGCAGTATAACCATCTAGTGTAGCAATCTCTCCTTCCAGTTCTGTGTCACCCGCAAATTGCTGAGGATGCTCTCTTATCCCATTATCTAGGTCATGAATTAAGCTGTTAGTGTTGGTACCAGTAGCATCTGCTGGTGTACATTACTAGTGATGTGCTCCAGCTGGACTTTGTACCACTAATCACAACTCTTGAAGCGTAACAGTTGCGCCAGTTCAGTTTTACCTTGGTCGTACATCACGAATTTGTCTCTGTTGCAGGTGTCAAAACATTACTAAAGACACAACAAACAGCATCCACTGCTCTCCCCTCATCCACCAAGACAGTTGTCTCACCATAGAAGGGTATCAGGCTGATGATATACGATGCCTCCTTGATAAATCCCTTCTGACTGTTCCCCATTACTGCCGTCTTAATAGGTTTAGAGCTGATTTCTGGAATAACTTGTTCCATCACAGTCCCAGGGATCGAGGTGAAGCTGATGATCCTGGAATTCCCTGGGTCCTTATTGCCCTTGAAGATTGTATCAAAGCAGATGTCACTCCTGTCCTCAGGAACTTTCTGCTGAGCACAGTGCCAGGAGCTGGAGGAGTGAATGAGGTCACTTTGACTCTTGCGTGCTTCATCAGCGTAATGAAAATGATTTATAGTATGTTTTGTGCACATTCTTTTGTTATATTTTTACTTTTCTTCTTACTCAAGAAGAAAAGGTTTGAATGTTTTTTCAGACAAGTGTTGGAGGTACAGGTCAAAACATCAGGGCAGGTAAGGAAAGTTCATTACTGGCACAGTTAGAATGAGATGTAGTTTGATTTGTCTGAAAGCCCAAGACGAGGGCATTTTTTTCAAAAGAAAGTTTTGTTTCACTTCTTGGAAGCCATGTTTCATTATAGGATGATGCTGATAGGAGCAGGAAGAAGTCGAGGGAAGTCCCAGAGAAGGGAATGGTGGTACTAGAGCCATTTTGTGTTTGGAGCAGTGATTTGGTGAATCACAAAGCAGAACTCAGTAACAGGATGGTAGTGCACAGGTATCAAAGGGACTGGTTTTGTGCTTTGTTGTCATCAAGCGTCTTGCTTTTTCAAAGGCATTCCTAGTGGTTAGAATGAAAAAGCTTAAACTGAGAACAAATGCAACTTCACAGTAATCATGGCATTCTGCACATGCATGTTTTTCAAGAGTTCCTCACAAGCAGTTTTATCTAATTGTTCCAGGTGACGGGTCCAAGAGGAGGCGTTCCAAGTCTGATGACATGGACAACATTCATTCTAAACGTTGTCGGTACATAGGAGAAGATTATGAAGCAGAATTCCAAGTGAAAATTACAGCCAGAAAGGATGTTGACCAAAAATTACAAAAGGTAGAATGGAGGTGCAGAGCAAAGAACATACACACATCTGTCACTTGTGTTACTGTCTTTGAATTAGCTGTTCTTTCTCACACGCTCCCTATGCCCCCATGCACTTTTCTTTTTTGTGGTTGAACATTGGATGTAACTCAAATAAGAAAGGTCGCTTAATTCATATAACGTCCTACATAGCCCTGCTTTTAAGAAGAGATCAAATACCATTTGAAAACTATGCTGCAAAAGTTCCATTTGAAATGTACAAAATACTTAAACTCTCAAGTCTCATGTGACCAGAAACTGAGAATGTTAGTAATGGAGGTATTTCAGCATGATGAAGTTCATACGTGATGTGCTTTTTTGTGTGTTTAGCCTTAAAGAAAGTTTGTGTCCAAACAAGAGTGTAATCGATGTATAGTTTTGCGCATTTCAGCAGAGTTGTTCATTGCCTGATTGCACCACTGGCATGTAAGGGAGCTCTGATCTTAAAGAAAAAATATTTGTGCACTTACTCCATTAGTTAGTTAGCTAAGGTGAGTTGTAACTTCATTAATGTAGGATGACAAAAACCAAACCGTGTTTGTTGCTTATTTATGTTTGTTTCCTAGGAAACTTTTTCACACTTGAATAGGTATAGAAGGGAGAAAAAATTTAAATAATAAGTTTATCAAGTAAACTTTGTGCAAATCAGTCTTTTCTCTTTCCGTTTTTTGCATCTGCAAGAAAAGCTACACTGCGTTTTTGCTAGGGGAAAATATATCTCAGAAATAAGGTTTTGTTGAATGTCTTTAATTTCTGTTCTTTGAATGTCCATGTCCTCAGTCAAGAACAGAAAGAAGAAAAATTAATTTGTGTGAACACTACACTTTTATAAAATATCTTCTGTTGTGAAGGTTCTTTTTATATGTAGTAAGATTTTATACACTTACCATACTGCAGTGAAATTAATTTATTGAATTAGTGGCAAAGAAGGGACTCTTTGCCAAAATAGATGTAGAAGCTCCTTAGCTGTGTAACCAGATGCTTATTGGTGACTATAGATTTGTTTGATTGACAGGGCACAACAGCTGTCATTGTTCTGTTAAGAGTTGAGAATGTTTTTATACAAGCTCTCCCAAATTCTAGGATTGCATTGTTATTTTTGCTTTTTTATATCATAATTTTGCAGATTATCCAGAGGCTGTTAGAAGAAAAACTTACTGCTTTACAGTGTGCAGTATTTGACAAGACTCTGGCAGATTTGAAAACTCGAATAGAGAAAGTGGAATGTAACAAGAGGCATAAAACTGTGCTCACTGAACTACAGGTGAGTGTGTGTTCTGCTGCATGCTAAGAACAAATTTTGAAATAAGTCCCTCAATATTTAGTAGTGAGTCTCCTGCAGTTGTCAGTAGGGAAGCCATTTGGAGTCTGCAAAGGGCGAAGGATGAAGAGGAATTAGCAAATGCTTAATGTCCCTTTTGAGGTGTAAAATTATATTTTCCTACTCAGAAAGGGAAAAGCAACCAGTGAATCATCAGAAAGCCCTAAAGCAAGTCTTCCTTCTGTCAAATTGATTCATTAGCTGTAACTGAACTGCTCTTCTACTCTTCTGTTCTATTTAGACATTTTTCAAAAAAATGCTAGGTATGAAAGTGTCTAATGCCTCTATGAAGCCAGAAATTTGCATAAAAATGGAAAAGCGCAGAAAGGAGGGGACAGTAGCACTGGACTTCTTCTGAACATTCTATATCATGTGTTGTTTCCCCAGAAAGTATATAATTATGTTCTAGGAAGGAAAAAAATAGCTGGTGTTAGATGCTCTCTGCTTTCTGGCATTCTCCATAGGAATTACGTACATCGTGGTGACATGAGGAACATAACAAAAATCAGAGAATTTTGAAGTGACAGGACAATTAAAAGCTTCTGTCACAACAAATTTAAACAATAAGGCTCTTTTATTTTTAGCATTGAAACAAATATGAAGCTTGCCAGACCAGTTCCTACTACACAACTTTTCCCCTTGCTGCCCGAGACATTTAATGTTGATTTTTTTTGTTAAGTGCTATCTAAGATGCTTTCAATTTACTTGTCTACTGGTGTCTTTAGCCATCAACTACACAGTCAAATTAAGAATATCGTACAAGATTTTCATTCATATAGAATTTTATGTGAACATGCAGGATGGATTCAGTTTGTGCAATTGTGAATAGGAAGGGAAATAATTCTAGTGGTCTGTAAGGTATCTTGGTTGTGATACACGTGTGTCTTTCTGCTCTTCTGAAACAATATACTTGTGTTTCAAGGAAAAATAATTTCCCATGATACGAAAGCAACCTTTGATTTGATGTCTTAATTATATATATCTTTGTATAATCTCCTGGTTCTTGAGGAAGATATTTATGGTTTTGTTTGTTTTCATCTTCTTCTCATTTAGGCTAAAATTGCTAGATTGACAAAGCGGTTTGGAGCAGCCAGGGAGGACATGAAGAAAAGACAGGAAGTAAGAACTAGATTTTTTGTGGGGTTTTTTTTCCTGTGTTAGCCTAAACCTCGTGTTGAACAATAAAGAAAGCTTACATGCAAAAAGATGTGACTTGGTTGTTCAGTGGCCTGCACAAAGCAGATTTGTCTTGTTTGATTAAAGACAGTGATATGAAAGAATAGTCTTTTAACATGGTATGTTACTGTGGTTTGTACAGAAGCTCCTTTAGCCTTTATTGTTGTGAAAACTCTTTAAAGTGTATCTCATTTACCTGAATCTAATTTACTTCACTGTGAAGAGTACAGTGTAAATAAGAGTGAATCCTAGTACCTTGATTCTGGGGGGTAGGGGGAGAGGAAAGAGAGGATATAGGAGAGGGAGCCAGGTAGGATCAAGTTGAATTGGGGGGGGTTGTAAAATATGTCAGGTTCTCCTGCAGTGTTGGCTTCAGAAAATGAATCTCTCACACAGAAGTGACTGGATATGAACTAGAATGGGACCATAAGTTTGCAAGCTGACTTACGGTTGTTTTGTCTTTTCTCTCCCTCTCTTTCTCTGTAGAATTCAGCAAATGCACCTGTGTCTCCAGGGAAACCAGCAGCTGACACTGCAACTGCAAACAATACCACATATAGGTAAGCAAACCACATCACTCTGACCATGTTAAAATTTACAGTAGGACATTTCAGATACCTAATGTAATTGATAATCCCTCTATTTTTTTTTTTTATTAAAGTGCACTTCCTTCATTGCTCTTCAGGTGTAAAATTCTATTTGCTTTCACGGAAGTCATAAATTGACAGTATTGAATCCATTCTTAGGTAAATTGAGATGTTGTTTAAGTGGTCAATAATTACAGATAAAAATGAAAGTTAAATTTCAAGGAAGGGAAAATTCTCATGGTGAAAGGCAAACTTGGTGCAAGCACTTGAAAATTTACAAATAATTCTGCACTTCTTTTAGGAGGGGAATATCCAAAGTTAATTTGTATGATGAGCAGGGAATGGGTTTAGAAAATCTCTAGGAAAAGAATAGCTGTAAAATAAGGGGTTTGTTCATTATCATACTGTTTGTAATTATACCTGGTGTGGCTCATCAAGAAATGCTAACTGAAACTTCATGCCATAGAAGTCCTAGCACAGTGAGGCAGATGCTGGAGTCAAAGAGGAGTTCAGGAGAGAGCGTGCCAGGAACTTTTCAAGCCCCTGTGAATGCAGGTAAGAAACTCTCTAAGGTCAAGAAACACAATTCTTAAATGTTTTATCACTTTCCATTAAACAGGGCAAAACTGAATTATATTCCTGTCTTTTTTTCTGAGAGGAAAATTCATTAATTTTAGCTCCCTAGCACATTCTCATTTTACATTTGTGTAGCATGCTTACCAGGTATGGGAAAAAATGTGTTGATTTGGCCAGCCAGAACATGGGTAAACCAGATGCTTTTTAGCAGCAGACTGCACACTGGGTGTGGCAGCAAAACTGGCAGAGTCTCAGCTGCCAACAAGTGAAACACATGGCTCAGGCCACTTTCTGTACTTGATTGTAGTAGGATGCTGTTATCATCCCCTCTGCCTAATGGCTACAGAAATTAAGTGGGAAACTAAAGACAGTTATAAACACCAGTTCATAAAGGAAACATGTTGAAAAATGGAATTTCTGGACTGAAATTTTATAGGGAATGTAGAATCAAAACCACCATTAATTACATTCCTTGTAGTCTCACCATCCTTGCTTTTAAAAAGTTTAACATTGAATGCTGAATCTTCTCCACAGAATTGTTATATAGGTATATACTAGCTTTGTGTAGTGTATTATGCTCCTGATTTAATCCTGAAATTTTTTATTGCATAAAACTGAGTATCTTCTCTGACATATTAATACTTGGTTTCAGTACTACCTTCTGGATACGAGGTCCTGTCTGTACAAAGCAAGTTAGTTGTAACTGACTTGGCTTTTCTTTGCTTGTGTTTTCCAAAGTCCAGTTGCTCTGCCATATCTGTAATGCGTGTTTAAAACGCTGTATTTTACACATTTTCAGCATTTAATTAGACCACTGAATATCAGAGCATATCACAGAAAAATAGTGTCTATAACCTTTATTTACGCTCAAAAAAGTTATTCATGTACCACCTTTTTCATAGAGTCATAGAATGGTTTGGGTTGGAAGGTACCTTTAAAGATCATCTCGTGAAAACCCTCAGCCATGGGCCAGGACACCTTTCACAAGATCAGCTTGCTCAAAGCCCCATCCAGCCTGACTTTGAACACTTACATTGATAGGGCATTCGTAGCTTCTCTGGACAACCAATTCCCATGACTCCCATAAATTGTTTGACATATCATGCAGAAATCGTTTCCATTTGTTGTGCTGCAGCGAAACTTCGACTTGGTTCAAATACTTATTTTTTCCTTTTTTTTTTTTTTTTTGTGTGTGTGTAGCGCCATCTTCCAGTCATGCTGCTTCTCCAGCAGTTGTCAGTGGGCATCCTAAGTTTCAGACTCCAGTGACCTCCACCAGCAATTTGACAACAACAGTTCTTCCCACGGCTAACACAGCTACGGTTGTAGGCACTAACCAAGTGCCCACTGGCAGCACTCAGTCAGTGTCTGTCTCGTTGCAGTCATTGCCTGTAATCTTACATGTACCTGTTGCAGTGTCATCCCAGACTCAGCTCCTGCAAGGCCACACAGGGACTTTGGTTACTAGCCAGCAGTCAGGCAGTGTTGAATTTATATCTGTACAAAACTCATCTACAGTTGGTAGCCTTACCAAAACTCCAGTTTCCTTGGCATCAGCTAACACAACTAAACCAAATAACATCCCATCTGTGCCCAGTCCTGGTATTCAGAGGAACTCTACAGTCAATGCTGGGTCAATAAGCACAACGTTGGCAGTGCAGGCTGTTTCGACTATTCATCCTGTTGCCCAGACCACAAGGACTTCTTTGCCCACAGTGGGTACTGCAGGACTTTATAATGCTTCCAGCAGTCGAGCACCTCTACAGATGAAGATTCCCCTCTCTGCATTAAGCAGTACAGCTTCTACTGAAACACCCACCATTACAGCACCCAGAGTTGGTAAGTTACACTTGAATGTTGACACTGGGAAAGGAAAATAGTTGTCAAAGGGAAACACAAAACTGCACTCCTGTGGAAGTTTGTTTGTTAGTGTGTTTTACAGAGATATTGCTTCTGGGTTGCCTTTCTGTTGAAATTTTCAAGTTCAAAATCATCTCTGTCCTATAGATGTGTTTCAGACATTGTTGACAAATCTCTCCTTAGGAGTCAGCAGTGTGACTTTGTAAGCTTTGTTTTATTTGGAACTTGATTTATATAATTTCTAGCATGAAGTCAGAAACTCTTATTCTACCATTAACAGCTTGGTATTTGTTTTTAATACAGCCTCTCAAAATCATGACTCTCTTTGTAAGCAAGGACATACTGAAAGTATAATCAGTAACTTAATTTTATTATAGCAGATTCCTCATTGGCACAATATAATGTTGAAATGAACTCAAGCAGAGCTTGACATCGGAACTGGTTTTATTTCATTTTGCCGTCTCTAAGTTACCTGTGTTAAAATATGTCCCCCATAGAGTTGGACAGTTACATGTTTTGCATTGATTCTTAGATCTAAAGCAGATAAAAATTAATTAACATGAGATAAAAAGGGTTATGACAGCTGAGGCACAGTGACGAATGGAAGGGGACCGATGTGTCAAAAAAATGTGTTGCATTTTATACAGCTCACGTAGCCTTACTGTGTACCCTAGTAGTTTCCTTACCAGAACTGAAACACTGTTTTGGTCCAGCACTGTTGCTGATAAGCTGTGGTTAAAATGAAAAGGAATTACTAGCAGAGAATTTGGATTTAAACATTTACATCAAATATTGAAGCAGCTGCTACTTAAATTGCTTTAGATATATGCTTGGCTGAGCTAATAAAGATACTCAGTCTTCCTGCATAAATTGTCTCAGCTATGTATTTTGCCATCTGTTTAACCATCCATTTTTCAGTCATTTTTTGGCTACAAAAATATTGAATAATGGTAACATTTTGCAGTTTAATATCTTGTCAGTTTGTGTACTGAGGGAGGAGAGGTTGGAGTTACGCTTTATCCTCAGATAGGCTTGTAAAATGTTTTTAATACACTGTCAGACTTTCAAGGAAGGGAACACATTAATCAAACTTGAATACTTAGAATTGAAAATCAAGACTAAATGTTAAATGTGCCACATACTGAATGTTTAGTATCAACCAATTTTGAATATTGCCTCCAAAGTTGTGTAGTGGATAGCAATAATTAGTACTGATCAGATACTGCAAATGAACAATTTCTTGACCCCTCAGAAACCCAGACAAGCAGGCCACCAACAGATGCTTCAGCAAACAAGCGAACTGCTGAGGGAACAACACAGGTACGTTGTCCGTTGTTTCTACATAAAATTCTAAAGTTACAATCCACAGGAGAAAACTTCTTAACCTTTATTGCTTAGAATGAAACAACTTTAGTTTCTTGTTGTGCCACCCTTTCTAGTTTCTGTCCATTTGTATTTTTCTTCTTCCTCTGATCCAGAGTATCAGAGCTTCTGTTAATCTTTTCAGAAGTTTTCTGATGAGGTTTGTGTAAGGTAGATGAGTTAGTAAATGAGGAGCACACTAAAACCTTGTGTAATTAAACAGAGCTGCCATATTAAATAAAAAAAAAGGCTGTCCAGTCTTTGTCTGAAGGGCTTGAACTTAAATCTACAAATATTTTATAAAATGTTCCAGTGTTCTCATTTCCATGCTAATCCAGAAGTTAATTAAATTGCCATAGGGAATAATATAAAGGAAAAGAAAACTTTTTCAGGAATAGCTACTTCATGATAAAGGAAAACTTGCAGTACTTCTGGAATCCTTGTCTAAAATTTGTTGAACTTACTTTGAAATTTAAAGGTTGAAACTGAGCGTTTAAAATTACTCATAATGCATTTTCTTCCTGTATATAGATATTTCACAAAGCACCTCATACTTACACATTGCTGTTACCCAGAAGTCATTTTATTAAGGGGAATAAAATTCATTTCTTCTAGCCAAAATTTCCAAATTCATTTGTGTTTCAAGGTACAGTTGGTATTTTAAAACAAGAAGAAAATACACTGGACAATATTGTTTTTCACCTGTCACACAAAGAGTCTGGCAGAGGTAGCCAGTATTATAAAGTCTGCCTCACTCTACCTTTTTATTAAGGCATTTCATAAAGAATGGTTGTTTGGAACTTCATTTTTCAAAGATACCTGTGGATTATAGCTATTAAAACACTTGTCAGTACTTTATATGTAGGAAATCCAGTACCAGAACAGGTGACAGAAATAGTTTGAAGATGTAATTGTCAGTATAAGATGCATATTCTGGCATTTTTCTTCAGTTAGAGCCTGAAATCTGGGGGAAAAAAGTTGGGAAAACCAGCCTGTATCATAGTGGTATGTAGCAAGGGAAGGTGAGCAAGGAGGAGGGAAATAAGGAACATGATGCTTTCCGGTTTTCAGTCTTCTGTTGTAGTGTATGCTCTAGGTTTGCTTTCTGTGAAATCAGTTAAAGCATGTGTAATGCCATGGTTTAAAAAGAAGAACCTGATGCATTTTAATTGGCTAGTTGAGGTATGGAATTGACATGCTGTATCATTTGAAAAATCCAGTTAATGCCACCTGCTTTTTGTTACGTAAAACCACAAAAATATTATGTATTACTCCACACTTCACAGCTCTCAGATCAAAAAGTAGTTCGCTGTGTGCCGTATACCTGTGGCATATTTGATGGTACAACTTTGATCAATTGTTTCGAAAAGCAGTTGAAACAGGAAGAGACTTCATCAGAAAATAAAGACGCAGTAGAAGCAGCACAGACGAATTTTAACTTCCCTAAGGATGTCCTCTTTGGCTTGGAGGAAGAGGAAGAGGATGCTAAGAGCATCAAAAACACCCACAAGCAGACTGGCTGGGCAGCTAACCTATTAAAACAATGGCTGGCCAAAAATGGCAAGGATCCTAGCTTTGAGTTGGTGCCAGTAAGTGAACTCAATGATATCTTAAGAGAGTTTTATTACACAATAAGAAATCATGACGGAAATACCTACAGTGTGGCAAGCTACAAGTCAATGCGTGCTGGCTTAAACCGGCATCTCAAAATGCCACCTTATAATCGTCAGCTTTGCTTAATGAAGGACAAAGAGTTTGCTAGTGCAAACACGGTGTTTGTGAGTATGCTGAAGATGCTCCGCTTGCAGGGGAAGGATGAGACTCACCACCATCCTCCTATAGCTGCTGAGGACTTGCGTAAGATTAAGCAATCTGGTGTGCTGGGTTTGCACAGTCCGCTGGCTCTCGTCAACAAGGTGTGGTTTGATTTGCAGTTGCATTTTGCCAAGCGAGGGAGGGAAATTTTAAGAGATCTGGCTCCAGATGCATTTGTTGTTGAAAAGGACAAGAACGGGCGTCGATATGCTATGTTTAGGTATCCTGGCAAAGGGAAAAATGGAGAAGATCCTCATAAAATGGGTAAAATGTATGATATGCCAGGGGACCCTAACTGTCCTGTTTTTTCCTTGGAGCTTTATTTGTCCAAGCTGCCTCCAGAGCCCCCTGCCTTTTACCTGCACCCTTTAAAGCTTACATCAGAGCAAATGCAAGAACAGCCTGTCTGGTACAAAAGAGAACCGATGGGTGTGAACTACTTAGGTACCATGATGCCCAGGATAAGTGTGGCAGCCAGGCTCTCTCAGCGGTACACCAATCATTCTCTCCGCACTACCACCATCCAGCTGCTGTGTGAAGCAGGACTGGGGCCTAGAGAAATAATGGCAGTGACAGGCCATCGCTCCGAGTCTGCTATTAGACACTACTGGGGATCTGCAGAGGTTCGCTACAGGGCTTGGTCAGATATAATGGAAAACAATGCCCCCAGTTGCTTATATAGCAAGATCCCAAATGAAGTAATAAAAGAATCACTATCTGGTGCTTCCACTTCTGTAAAACATGTTGTTCTAGAACAAACCAAAATTCTATTCCCTAAGAAATCTGTGGTGCCACCTGGCATTAATTCTGTGGCTTTAGTGCCCGAGGGACATCCAGCTCTGAATTCCAGAAGTCCCCTCCTGTCGCATCACAGTTCTTCCAAGGTGTTTTTCCCCAAGAACATGACCAGTGGGAACCTAACTGGGGGTCCCCTTCAAAGCTGTTGTAATGAACCTGTCTTTATGAAGCGTGTGATAAAACAAGAACCTATGACTTGATGCTTCTGTAATGGAACTGATTTCAAATTAATTGCTAAAATGAAAAAAATTATCAGATTTGTTTTTTCACTTGGTCTGCTAAGGAAATTTCTAATAGTCTAGTTGAGCAAAAAGTACCCTGTTCACACTCGCGAAGTGAGCTATGGAACAGAAACTTAAACAGAGCAGGGCTTGGAGTTTGTCTGACTTTTTGTGGCAGCTGGGATTCTCTAAGTGGCTGAGGAGAGCTATTTTTGAAAACTGGAAGGGTGATATTCATTTCCACTTAGCTGAACAGCTATGCTTTCTTCACTAAGAGCGTAGCTTTTACATTTTGTGAAGAGTGTATTTATCATACCATTTTGTGCCTGCTGGCACTAATGTAGCATCTTACAAATCAAATACTTGATTACTGAAGAGCACTGAGAAAGCAGAAGCTGAATGAAATAGACAGATACACTACAAATATGTACATATGCATGAAAACACCTGGAATTGCTTGACCACCCTAGCCCTCTCTGTTTAAAATGTTATCAGATGTAGCAGAGGATTGTGCCTTTATTTTTTCTTTTGGTAAACGTTCTTCTAAATTGATTTTGTTTGTCAGCTACAGATTTACATTGCAGATCTTTCCTTTTCCTTTTGGCTTAAGATTTCAGTCATTCTGTTCTACAAAGACACTATTTGATACACTGGTATTAAAATTGGGATCTCTTCAGTTGTGTATGAAATGGGAAAACATTCTCAAAAGAGCTGAGAACAGATCTGTTCCTTGTGGCAGGTAATTACGGTTGAAGTGTTGTCTCTGTGCTTAACTTTTGTGAGGTTTTTTTGTATTTCCTCTCACCTACCCCTTCAAAACATTTTGCATCATCTTTGCAGTATAGTCTTTGTCAGTATAGTGTACTTCACAGGAAGCACAAACTGTTCTTCCCCATTGAACCCTATCCAAGTATTATTTTTGGGTTTAACTTCTTCAGATTAGTTCAGTGTAGTAAACTGATCCTGTCATTACATTTTCAATAGATTTTTGCAAGTTAGAAATTCTGAAGATAGTGGATGTGAATAGTAATTTTCTTCAGAGATTCTGACAAATCTAGAGAACTTCCTGTAAATAAAAGCGGAAAACTGGTCATAGAATCACAAATTATGGTGGGTGCACTTTGGAAGAAGAAACAGCATAGCATTTAAAACTGCTTTCCATTGTATTAACTCAATGAAATAAGAATTGCTTTGTCCTTTTCAAATGTGTGTACAGACATACTCCATACACACACACTGCACACACAGTTTATCACACTAAGTACTTCACTGGAAGTGTTTATGTTGCTCAGCAATGGACAAAATAGAAAAAAATCCCAGCTGAAATGACAAATTGACCATGATAAACTCTTAATTCTGTGGGGAACTTCCTTGCTGGGATAGGCTTTCAAATATTGGGTGAGATTTATCACTCTGTTACAGTGTACAGTCAGTATAGATACTGCTATAGTTGGCACAGAGGACTCAATGCCTGAACTTCGGAGTTTTTATCTTGGCTGATAACATTTACCTTTGTGGCCTTGGGTAGATTATTCATACTTACTGCATCAGTTTTCCACAGTGTAAGAAGACCAGCACAGTGCTCCATTTTCAGATGGGTCAAGTTAAAAGATTAAAACGTTTTAAAAGTTCTATATTCACATTACGTATTATATTTACAGTCACAGTAACACAGTGTAACATTACAGTATTGTAATGAGTAAGATAGTTGATTAGATATAATTGTTAATATAAAAATTACTTCTGCACAGTCCTGTACTTCCTCAGTTGCAGCATTAACTTAGGACATCAGTGACTAGAGGAAGGAAAGCATAGATCTGGAATTATCATTTTGTTAAGCTTAAAGTAAATCAAATAGAAATGGTAAAGAAAGTAATCCTTTCTAATGGCTGGATAGAAAAAAAAAAGGTTAAAAAAACCCAAAGGGCACTCAAAATACAGGAGAACCATGCAGAAAATATTCTGGGATATTTTAGGGTAACATAGATTTCCAAATTTTAGGGATTCATAGAATTTCTAATTCAGCCAGAATTTGAAGAAACTTGAAATACACAGCAGGATTGGTGTGTATTTTTGTATGACTTTTTCCAAAAAAATAGAATACCTCCTGCCTCAGTATCCTAG